CAGACGTTGCGTTGCCAAGTCTGTCATGGTCGATGATGTAGCAGAAATCTGACTGCTTCTCTTCATCCTCGCACACGCGAGTTCCATTTTTCGCGGTTAGCACAACGAATCGCCCGTATATGAAATCACATGTGTCAAATGCTTACAAGTACGTTAGTAGCGATTTTGCGTAACGGTATAATACAACAGCACAATCAAGATTTAGAATTTAATCCAAAGTTTTGATCCTCTCTCTCTCTCTTAAAAAAAAAAAAAAAAACTAAATAAACACAAACAGATCGATCGAAATATTATCTCGAAGAAATACAAGAGCGAACCCTAGCCTTGAGCGCCATAGGTCATTACTAATTGGTTTACTTCATCACGCGTGGATCTCAAAATTAATACGCGTCGATGTCAATATGGGTGTGTCGTTGTTTTAATAAGATGACGCACACATATATGCAGTATTTCGGAGGTGGAGGAAACATAGCAACCAGAGCTCTAGTTAATTTCGCGAAGATAGTAAATGGATTTTGAGAGGGTCTCTTACAACATTATTAAATATATTAAATATATCATAAACTATAAATTCTATTTTTGTTACCTCATATTTTTACTGCGCGAAAAAATATTGTAATTAATTTTCACAAACAACTGTTTATAATAGTGTAATTAATTTTCATAAATAAATTTTTATTATCTAATTTATATTTAGAGAAAAAATATTATTAAAAATTGTATTACGTGTTTCAATTCCTTCGATTTGCATTTTTGAAATATCGCAAGTTAACGGGCAAATTCTATTCTATAGTATTGATTTTTGTGTTCTCACGCGACAATAAAACCAGTTTCCGCGCTAAATCTACAAATGAGCTTTACCGAGCGTGAGCAAACTGGCGACGTATTTTGTATACTTATCGCTTTGATGTGATGTTGTTTTATGCAAAAGAGCGTGAGTGGCGCATTATCCCAACGAGCACGTACATTATTTCATTCGCGCAACGTTGCGTGCAATATTCTTGTTCCCGAAAATTTATTAAATATCAAAGTATATCACTTTTTTATTATTCAAATTTTTTGTGTAACATATTTTGCAATTAAAAAAAATCCACGATATTTTTTTGTTTGTAACAAGAATGAACAAATGACGTGCGCATCAATCAAATCCGTTTTCGAATACTTTGTGATGCGCAATCACAGTGACTATTCAGTAAAACCACACGTGGATTCTACGATCGTTGCTTCACACAGATGTTCTTCATCTCGTTTTTTCAAGCACGTAAATTAATAACAGAAGATTCGAAAGAAAACCATGTAAGACACACGGATAATGATAATGACGTGGATTGTTGAGAAGAATAACGCTTCGTTTGTTGCAAGTCCACGCGGAAAGTAACACGCGTCGTACGAAATCATGGATTTGTCAAGGGAGAAAGCGCGTCTTATTAAATAAAACTGACGGATCTAAACGAGAGTGAAGATAAGACGATGTTAGAAAAATCAGAACGCCACGTGATTTACCATCGCAATCGGCATCCAGGCAAAACGAAAACTAGGTCGTAATTATGACTAGACGACGTTTTATTTATATACACATATATTGCGGCACGAGAAAATGCGCAACGTTTATTTTTATGGCACGGTAAATTATATATTGCAGTGTGGATTTGTTTTTGGTTTTTTTTGTTTCCTCTATAATTGATAGATTTCAAATGTTGTAGTGCACAGTTTTTCTATCAAACGTCTGTTTTTTAAAAAATATACCGTATTCTCGGATATTTTCCATACGAAAAATATTAACTCTATATATAGATATACGTGTGTGTATGTGTGTGTGTATGTATATACATATATATATATAGAGAGAGAGAGAGAGAGACTAGAACCGGAATAATAACACGCAAATTCGAGTTTCTACATATATTTAGTGACAATTTTTGACTTCGTCTGTCGTTCCTTCATTTTTATTACACATGTATCCTCTTTCATATTATTTATATCTTCTTTCATATATATTATTTTTGTATGAAATGAACGAATGACGGACAGTTAGAAGTTATCGCAAAATTGTGCAGAAACTTGAAATGCGTATTGTTATTTCAGTTCTAATTTGTTTTGTCGTGTTGCTGCGCAAAATCGTGATTTTTTTGCGTTGTTGGATTTCATGTGTAGACTTGTCGGATAATTTTACCAAGTTTTATCAAGCAAAATTCGAGTTTTCTCGCGCAAAAATTTTCAGAAAAATTATTTTTGCTTCCGTCTACTTATTTTGTAAAACATCTGAAATCATCATTTTTTATCTTTGACGAAGAAACAGTTTGCATTTATGTGCGTGTGTGTCTACATATGCCAATAGTTGGCAATTCTTTTAACGATTTTCTTTCTTTCTTTCTTCTTATTTCGATGCATTAAGATAAATACGCGCAACGTGAAGAATTGTGTTGGGACCGAATGGACAGCCACTTCGCTTTCATCATCTCGTTTCGTCAATATTTCAATAACAGTGTCGACGTTGTGCTCGCGCAGAGCGTGCACATAACTCCATCGGGCAAGTAACGTCTCGTCACACGTCTCTTAAAATCGGAACGTACACACACACACACACACACACACACACACGCACACGTATACATATGGGGATTGAATGGGATCGTCGCGATGACGGGCGGCTCCGGCGGAAGTGCGTCAATATTTTCCGTGCACTCGTATGTCTCACACCGAATCAATGTGTGTCGGCGCCGCGGTAAAAAATTCAAAGCGCAAAGCCCTCGAGTGCGTGTGTCCCGCGTAATGTAATCACGCATATACGATTGGCAGCAGAAACGAGCATGGGTGCATGACGGCGGCAAGTGTGTGTCGCTTTTATTGAATTTAGACCCGCCCGCGTCGTGCGATATATCGGCGAATCTGTATAACAGTTCAGTGGAACTGATCGAATCTACCGATTATAAAGAGAGCGAAAATAGAGAGAGAAAGAGAGAAAGAGAGAGAGAGAGAGAGAGAGAGAGAGAGAGAGAAAAAGAGAGAAAGAGACAGACATTTCACGCAAGAAATAATCTTCAACTTGCATATACGTTATTTATCAATCGGCCCGCGCGTTTGAATTTACTAGCAGTTTATTAACGGGAGAGAGGCGAGCGCAAATCTCTCCAAGCACTTTCGCTCCGAACTTTTTCCTTCGCTTATTTGTTTAATTGGCTTTTCTACGGGAAAACTAAATGAACGGAGCGTCACTAAGACTCTTAATTGGCATATTGATTTTTCACGATATGGCGAACAATGGCGATTTAATTAAAGCTTTTAGATGACCCGTTAAACTTTTGTACAGCAGTTTGTGACATTTCAAATGCGATTACTTCATTACAATCGTTGTTTGTTTAAGAAAAGCTGCCTCATTTACATATATCTGTGTGTGTGTGTGTTTATGTGTGTTGACTGTATCAATTTTTGAAGCAAACACAATCGCTGATTGTTTCGATTCGATATCGAACTGATTCCTCCGATTATCGTCCGCGCAGAATTAAAAAGAACAACACAGCTCAGCAATTTTGTTTGACTCCGTCTGTTTTTTTTTTTTTTTTTTTTTTTTTTTTTTTTTTATCGAAAAGAGCGATATTTCTTAACATCTCTCTCGGTAATCAATAAAAACAAATAAAGCGACGATAACATCGCCGATCGCCGATAGATCACAGTATTTCTCACTACGGTTAATCTCGTGTTCTTCAGATAAAACGAACTTTTTTCTTCGTTACGAACACACGATTGCCGCGGTTAATTCGAAGTATCAATTATCGAACTATCAATTCATTCATCTAAGTGTGTTTACGGTTATTTTGTTTTTTGCGATAAGATACTGCAATCTTCGAATCAAAACAAGTTCGAACGTTAAAAGCTATGAATAACATTTTTATCCGCTCAAAAAAAACGGATCATCGCTTTTATCGTGTATTTTGTGTTGCATATATTATACGTTTTTTCTCTCTCTTTCTATGTATATAAATATATATTTTTTATTTCAGTATAAAATTCATTCAGTATAATACATGTATTCAGTATAATTACTGAATACATATATATACTAAATATACATACATGCAGTATATATATATTCAAGGCTTCAAGCCGAAATCAAACATGTATTGGATAACCAAATCTATAGATAGCACTTCTCCAATAATTGGCACTTATTGATTTTGTTTTCTAGTTGTTAACACTTTTGTTTACTTTTTACTTGACATTATAGTAGGATTAATTTGGATTTTCTGTGACAACATTAGAGTTGGTTTAGTGGTACTCTCTTAATAAACAAAATTGACATGTTTTTAAAGCGCCACTTATTGAGTGTTTTACCTCACGTAAAGCTGAATACGCGAGAACATTATGTCACATATTGTTGCGGCATGTGTTAATAACGCATATCATCTCTCGCTTATCGTAACTAACTAGTCCTCACAGTCCGAGACTGAATGATATCGAGATCGATCTTGTCGCAATCGAACGTAAGAGCAACATTCTCCTCTTTTCGAATGAAATTTTTCGCGGCGCGGGACCAATTTCGCGCGGTGAAAATGAACTGGTATAAAAATCGCGCGCTCATACTGTGGTATACTGCATCGTATTCTATATGGCACGTGACAGAACCATAGCAACGAGCGACGTGAAAGGAATAGAAATGACTATCTTTTTCTTTTATTGGTTATATCAATTTATATGTACATGTGGAAAAAAAGAAAAGCGGATACTTTGATTGAGAAAAACAGTTACTTTCAACTCAGAAGAACAAGTGCGCGGAATTTCACGTTTTATCGCGAGATAAAATTTACACGTACGACTTGACATCTTTATCGTAGCAAATCGACCAGTGCAACGTGTGATATATTTCTACATTGACCAGAAATTGTCTTAAAAAAATACACAGACGAGTAACAATATTTTATACAAAAACAAAAAAGAGTGCAAGTATAATCAAACATTCGTTCGGAAGTGAGCGAAGAATTAAATACGGAAAAATTACTCACCGAGTCGCGAAACATCCTTCGAACAAAAGCAGTCTCTCCGTGCGCAGTCCGTTAAATCGATGCTTCCTCTCTCGCTTTACTTTTTTTTTTTTTTTTCACGTCGCGACGACGTTCGCACAAGATTCAATTCGCACGCGGATTTGTCAAGCCGTTTCACAACTCATTTGCGTAACGACTTGTTTCAATTATCGGCCAACTCTCATATTCAAACTGTTGAAAACAACAACCAGTTCGCGGGAACTCGCACCATGTCGTCAGGCAGTGGTGTCGGTCACAGAAAGACGACGCGTCGATATTACCGCGCTAAATGTGCGGTGCACACGCCGATGTTACACCTGTTTATATCGTAGTGATAAACGCTCGCGACCACGCACAACGGTGTCACACAATAATAGAATTTTAATCTACCTATCAACTTCGTGTAATCTCACTTTCTGTCTCCCGTGGTCTTTAAATGTTAAGTTATCGAGATAATTTATCATATCTCAACTCTTTGCAGTGTAATTTTCAACGAGAGAAATATTTATTAGAGAGCTATTTAAAGCGCATGATTGTAAATGTTCAACGATCCAATTAACGTAGAAAATATTTAAGCGAACAACAGGAGCGTTCATCGAATATTTTTCCTTATTGTTTTAAGTATTTCCCACCGATGTCTAAATATATTAAATTTTGACATTTAATACACAAGAGCGAGTTTAAAAATAGCAGTTGACAAGGATAAATTTGCAATGAATATGCACATTTTTAAAATATAATATAAATATTTTGTCTTTATATATTAACGCGTATTTTCTCAAATTTGTTCACTTTTAATTTTGTGCACGTATATGTAGATATACATATTTTAACAAGTTAAAGTAAAAAATTGAATGATAACACTTCACACAGGTTAATGCAAACGCAGTATGAAATGTAAGAAAAATTTTATGCGATATATTATATTTTAACTTTTTTACTCTGTAGACGATCTATTGATTTTGTAACACTGTTCTAAAATAAATTCAAAAATTGAATAATATTAAAAAAAAAAACAAACGGTAGGAAGTATTTAAACAATTGTAGAAAAGGTTTTGAAAAAAACCTTTCACCGTCAAAACCTACTTTTTTTATACGTTTTTCACTTTCTGAAATAAATGGATTGTTAGACTCATTTATGTTAACGAGCACTCTTGACTCTTTCACATTTAATATGGAACAAAAATGTTACGTTTTAAATGTTAAAATGCACATTATTTGCAAATAATATTATTTCGAATTTCAAAGTATTTTATCTACTATTTGAATAATTTTAAATTGCAAAATAAAAATTTTTACATTCGTTAATTAGTTGTTTTACAAAAAAACACACATATAAATTTTCATATTTACTCTTTGATTTCTGTCTGTCATGATATAAAAATTGAATGTTTATTCCCGCATTTTTCTATCAAAGATCTCGAATGTGCAATCGAAGGTAAAACCAATTTTATGAATAAATCCGATAATACGAGAATTTTCGGCGAAACTTACAAGGAAGTAATTGCAGCGCAAAATTTTGTGTGACCGCATACTGAGAATTGCGATTTAATTATTCGGTTAAAACTTACTCAGTATAAACTTGCCTGAGTTTTGCCAGATGCTTTATTACACGCGTAAAATCACCACCATCCGGAAGTGCTTTGCGATGTATCCCGGAACTGTCTCAGTTATAACGTTCGTATACGCGTCCGACCTCAAGCGCCGTTTCAACGCAACTGCCTTCCTACAGATATATCGCATCTATATCGTCGGATCTTACGCATGTCCGATTTCCGACTCTCTCTTTCTCTGTCGTGAGCGCACCCCTCGTTCATTTTGTCGAGCTTTCCTCGTTGCACCCGCGTATAAGCGCGTCTCGTCGGCGCAAGTGCGCCTGTCAACCTGCACAACACCCCGCCAACTGTTGCTTTCGTGCTATACATGCAAAACGATCAAAAATCAGTTTCGCGCATTATGTATGTCTGTGTGTGTGTGTGTGTGTGTGTGTGTGTGTGTGTATATATATATATTCTTTATCGCAGTTTTCAAATAAAGAAATATTGAATAAAGTATCTAAATATAAAGTATTTGAAATAAAGAAATATATGAAATACGTAAAACACTGTTTCTGAGAGAACTCTCTTTCTCTCAAAATTGCACTTTTCTAACGAACCGAGAAGAACAGCGGTACTCGAGCAGCACAGCGCGACGCGCACATAAAACTAAGCACGTAAATGAAATAATTAACGAATTTTTTACGTCAACTTTTAAATCAATTTCAAATTTTATAATTCGAATGCTTGATTTGCATCTCGTGTATGTAAAACTCTTCAAGTTTATTGTGGAAAATTTACTGCAAAGTTTTTTTTTTAAAGAAATTACGACCTCGACCGGAAATCTAATCTGCAACTCCCCATTTTCCGGGCGGGGCACTTTATCACGTCAGCTACCGAAGACGGTGATATTTCAATGTTAAAATTTAATGCAGATTTCATTTGTGCGCAGTTAACTTCATAAAAAAACAGATGAAAGCAATTTTTTAGTCTGAATTTTGATACGTCTCCGTAAAAGCTTGATTCTTCAAATGCTTTATCATTCTTTGGTTGTTAGAAGTCTTGGTCTTCTAAGAAAGAAGAGATAGTCTAACCTTTACAATTTCAATTTGTCAAAAGGAAATTTATAAGAAATCATTTATTGTGAACGCTCTGAGTTATGTTTTTACAAAATAATATATAAGATTCTCTTCCTAACAAAAGATTCTCACACAAACACCTACATCAGAACCATCAGCTTTCGACAGTGGTTTCAAGGTGGATATAAATAAATCTATCGATCTGTCTGTCTCTTGAATCTTGAAAAAGGCGTGCAACTCTATCTATCGACATAATAGGATAAGTTTTTCTTCGATGTCTGACACGTACTTTAACATTCACCTTCCAATATTTCATAAATCGAATATCTATTTTAATGCACGTTGCGAGAATTTCCGATGTACATACGTGTTTCAGTCTTGAATTTTGCTGCCAGATAATATTGACGGTCGATCCTGACAGATGTGATCTTTATTTTCCAAGGTGAATTATTACTACGTCGTAAAACTTCAATTACTGGTACATTAGCGATTTCACGTGTTCATAAAGAGACATCGAGAGGCTCGAATGAGACTCGTGTAATAGAAGACTTGTGACACATTTTGCAACGTACATTCTGTGATGAAAGCACACACACACACACACACACACTTTATTAATTTCATTAAATTAAGAATCGAGACAATTTTATAATTTTGTTAAATTAAAAATTGATATTGCAAAGAAAAATATTGACAAACTTATCACAGAATGTAAAACAGAGCGGTGTGTGTGTTGAATCTCTCGAATTATGTTCTATATAAAATTCACTATATATTTATATCTGCGCATTTCCCACAGCACATACATATCTGTCAGTTTTTATATCTATGGAGGTTTTTTTGCTTCTCTCTCTACCTACGCGTTATTATTAATTCAATCAAATAGAATTAATGACGAAGATCGCCGGCAAACATCCTACATTTTATATTCATAGAATACTTTGCATTATTTTTGAGTTACAAATACACGTCCGGTTCTTAAAGTCGTACCTTTTGCTATTATGTTTATTTTCTTTTTCTTCGTGAATGCGCGAAAAGCATTTATAATATGTGATAAAAATACGTACAGATGTGTGTGTTGTACACATTTATTAATATATAAATAATATTAATAATTTATTAATATAAACGCAAATAAGACAACTTCTGTGTGTTTAATACAAGAAATCTAACTTTTCTTTTTTGAAAGCCTTTTAAATGTTTACTGAGCTGATCAAAATTTTATTTAAACAAAATTTTAAGAAATATATAAGGCCTTACGAGCCATTCGCAGGATGTTTGTGCGGAAACTGTGCGTGTACATATATATATACATGTAACGAATTCAGTTTCCGCACAAACATCCTGCGAATGGCTCGTAAGGCCTTGTATATTTCTTGTTGACAATTTCAACGAGCCTTAAGTCTTTATTGTTTAAAATTTTACTCATCCCACAAAATTAATACATTAGACGAAAATTAGAGAGATCAGCGTGACGAATGTACTTTTCTTCGAGACGAGCACTTTGCGAGATTGAAAGATCTACGCACGTGCGTGATCAAAACAGATAACATTACGCGAATAGAAGAATCAAGATATCGATGATAACGGTAACGTGTGTGTGTGTGTGTGTGTGTGTGTGTGTGTGTGTGTGTGCGCGCGCGCGCTTATTTAATCTCTTAGGAAGATATCCATTTATAAGTGTGTATCACAATGCTTTCGTATAACTTTTGTTACGAGTAGATTTTAAAGATTTACACAATTATACATTACATAACATGTGTTTAGTTTTTGTGTTAATAAAAATACTATATTGATTTTTGAATATATCGATTGTCGCACTTGTCAAATCCTTCTTAAAAAAAAGGTAATAAAAAAATAAAACACATATTGTGTAAGATATATTCTATCTGAAAAGAAAACAATTTATTGTCAAAAGTTTGAATTTATTAAGCGATGTTTGATTTATTAACAGACTTGATTGACAGATGCATGATTATGGCTGGCTTATCATAGAATATTCCGCAAGCTCATGCAATTATAAACGGGTCATTACATTTAGCCGATTAATGCAATTATATTTTGTTTCTCGCGTTAGTGTGAAATTTAAATTTCTCGCATAATTATTTACAAAGATGAAAAATAGATATTTTGGGATTTAGATTTGTTTACAAAATATTATATATTTTAATCAATAATTACGAACATAAGATATTATTTGTTTTTTCTCTAATGTCCATTCCATACGTGGAAATAATCGTAGTCATTGTTTTTATACATGTAATTGTATTACATAATTTGATACACACAAAGTACATCAAATCTCATCACGTATTTAAGTATCTAAAATTCGATAAACTGTATGGACACTATTTACAAATTGCTAAAATATATATATAATGTATATTGCTACCACATATTATTTTAATTAATAATTAACGAAATATAATTACTTTTGTTATCACAAACATGTTGCTTTCCGACTAATAATAATTTTCTAATCAATATTCATGGCGTCTATCGCATGTTGCGTTTAGCGTAACTACATAGAGAGCATCTCTAATAATTATCTCCTAACATATTGTACCGGCAAAATATATTAATAAATTATTATATATACAAACCTTATAACAATTATTTATATTTGAATATTTACAATATATTTCAAATAGTTGTTTATATTCGAATATATGTCTCTTTTTTTTTATACAATTGCAAATATTATTAAATTGTCTTTTTTAGTAAAATTTATTATGGTTTTTTTGTGTGCAACCAGAAAAATAAAGCAACGATAAAAATCTCGGTGTAAAACAATTTCTTTGTGTGCGGTTATTTTGATTCACGCTTTTCAAAGATTCCACCAAATTTTTTTTATAGCAACTGATGAAAATTGATGCGCGATATATGGCACACGCTAAAAGGATCGAGTGCCTTACCCTGTATAACGCCATCGAAAATTCTATACAGCGAACGTTCTCAATCACAGTTTTCTCCATTGTAAAAACCATCTCTTTCTCTTTCTCTCTCTTTCTCTCTCTCTCTCTCTCTCTCTCTCTCTCTTTCGTGTTTTACTCCTTTTATCATCGATCATCAATGTCAATCGAATTAATCTCGACAAATGAATAGTTCAGGTATCGGTTTTGCATTACGAGATATATTGACACCGTTCAAGGTCGTGTAATACTTCTGCTCCTCTTTATCAACGAGAAATTAAAGATGCGCAATGAGACTCGCGCTTAAGCGAACCGATGAATTAAACATCGGGATTCTCTTTCACCTGGTGCATCCGCGGCAAGTATTGCGAAACCTCGCGTCGATTGCCTTCGCATTCAATCACGCCTGTTTTCTAACGAACATAACAAGATGGATTGCCGCAGTTTAAATCGCACACATGGGGTATCTCACGAGGTTCTTACAAACTTTTCTTTACAAGATCGCAGAGTATATACATATATTTTTAATTTTATATCGAAGTAGATCTTCAGACACAAGCTTGAATTACTCAGCGCGAAAAAAAGGATCTTCAAGAACAATCACGCGAATTAATTTAGACAACTCGGCAACTTGGAACGTTACAAACAAACCGATCGTTCGCTCTTTAAGATCTCGTCGAAGGTGAAGTGTAGTCGGCAAGGTATTATAACAGAGTCAACGACCTTCGAGTCGTTATCGTCGTTTATGCGCGAATTACGTAACAGAAAAAGTAGCTTCAAAGTCGTCAGACTCTGCTCTTGAAACCCTGCTGAAGCGAACTAAAATGTCTACAAAAAAACAAACAAACAAACAAACGTCGATGCAAAAGTGACACTAACGCGGATTCAAATTCCAAAAACCATTTTTTCAGAAAATTCAACTCGTTACACGTTTCACGAGTATCGTTCGTTCGCGTTGCACGTACACTAATCGGCGTAAATCGAGCTCTACAAGTAAGCTCTAAAGTGTGTGCGTCGCTCGATGTGTTGTTTCCTGGCAAAGTCTCAGCGAGACTGGATCTTTACGCGCGTTACACACAGTTTTGTTTTCTTAAAAAACACTACTTGTAGAAAAATATATTCTACAAAATATATTTTTGATAACACGCCAATTGATGTATTTTCTCGCTGTAAATTTGTGCTCGTAACTAACTTAATTAAGCAACGATATAGTCCTCAACACACCATCAGACACACGTTAAGCTCGTTAACTGCAGGTAATTAACTGCAATTGCGCAACCGACTGGATTAACTTGACGACGCGTGTTGTGATTGCAATTTCGAGTCTCTCCTCATTAGGGTATCAATAGATGCGTGATGTCTCCGAACTCATATTCCCCAAGCAATGTGCGAATCAGATCCCTCATAGTGAGATGATGGATCGTTTCGTTTATTTGGTTCGCCACGTAATCCCGAATCACCGGCAATATATCCGGCTTGATGATGTCCACCGCTTCTGGTGTAAGCTCCTCGAAGACCTGCAAAACCGTCTCGGTGACATATTCATGATCGGCACGACACACGCGTGGGCGTGTTCAATTTGGTAACGAACCGTACGTGAAATTTATCCCGTTCAGAAATCTCTCGTCTCGTTTGCATTATCGTTTGCGACATTAATCTTGAATTATTGATTTAATGCAAAACATATGTGCGCGCAGAAAATTGACGGTATCAATTATATTCAGTTTTAAATTGCCGAACCACCACGACGTGTGTCGAACGCAATCATCGCTGCTTTATGATTTTCAACGCTATTTGTAATTTAATATTGCATTTATTTAGAAAAGTTATCAGTTAACGAAACTCTATTGGATACGGACGCGCATGTTGAAATCGTTCAGCAATGAACGAATCAAACGAGCGATTAATATTCCGCGCATATATACAACGCGAAATTTTCGTTTCAATGCGATCGGACAATCGCGCGACCTCACCCAATTCGACGTTGGCGTGCGCATCGCGAATAGAATTACTACGCGGACAGATAGATATTGGAACAGGCCGTAAAGAGCTTTTCGCCGTAAAAACCGCACCGATCATCGCGCGAAAGTCAAAACGGTCATATATAAAGAGGAAATGATTTCGCACGAAATCGCAACACAGAAACTCAATAAGCTCGTAAAAGTTCTCGAACACAATCGAAAACGGCACGATCACGTTCATAACGACACCGCGAATCGCATATGAAGTAATATTTTATCTTCCGTTTGATCAAACGCGCGTTTAATTTTACAAGAGTATTTTGTTTTACGAAGACAGAACTTACAAAACAAATTTTCTATTTCAGTTATTTTGTGTGGAAAAAACAAATGTTTTTGATAACTTTGACGTGTACATTTTAAAATTATTCGAATGTCAGCGCACACTATTTACAGTAGGTGCAAAGTTAGTTCGGAGCACACGTGTGTTATATGTGTACAAGAAGCGATTGATAAGTATCCGAAAAGACGCACAGACGTATATCACGTAGCGACGCAGTAGTATCACATTACTGTTGCTTTTGACAAGTTTTCGTTCTTCAGAAGAAAAACAAATGTCAAACGCTGACTCATTATCACAATGTTTGCGACAACTCGCTAGTAAAGTAGACGCTCTCTCTCTCTCTTAATGATTGCTGACAACAGCATCAGCTCACACTTGTTGTTTCAACGATCAAAATTTACGAGTCGGACTTTGAATTGTCGTCTCATCCTCGTTTTATTCGCCAGATACAAGGCCCCGTACGATTTTTATTTATTTTTCTATTTTTTTATTTTTTTCGAAATAGCTCGATGAAAAGACACTTTTCAACAATGAAGTCGTCGATGCTCGTAAATGGCTATATCTTGTTATACAAACACTGGATGCGATGATGAGCCAGTCAGCGTTTGACATTTGTTCTTCAGAAAAATGAAACCTGACAGCAATGTGATACTACTGTCGGTATATATATATTTGCGTCGCGTCTCAAATACTTCATCAATTGCCCCTTATGTCTCACCTTGCTCATAATTAGCCCGACCTCCTCGTTACCCATGAAGTCGTGGAGATGTATCTTGATGGCGCGCAGCGAAAAGTCCAGGTCGAATTTCCTCAGATACACTCCTCGGGCGTAGCCCAGCACGATGATTACGTAAGCGCGGAAATCGTTTACGGTCATCTCGAAGGGACCCGCGCCGCGCAATTTGTACGTGTCTCCCAGTATACCGGATATATTGTAATGGCCCGTCGCGTAAATCTCGGGGATTGAGATGTTTACGGCGATAGTAGGTCCGATTAGTGACATCTTGGCTCGATCGATTAGAAAAGTCGAGAGTTTTCGCATTTCCAGGTCTTCGATTACCAAATGCACTCTGAGAAAAAACAAAACAGATTTATGACGACATTTGACCTATTTGCTCGGCAACTCGCACGCGGCGGTTGATGGTATTTCGCGGATTTTAAACGGTAGAAAACATATCTTACGTATTCTCATTCGAATGTAAGAACTTTACTTTCACAAACGGTAAGAGTGCTTGTGACTCTAAAGTGCGCAAATCGTAATAAATAAAAGGTGCAAACAATAAGTGCAAGCAATAAACCGCGTGTGTTTGTTCAACAAACTCAGTTATATCAATTCTAAAAAAAACACATTTTTTGTTACTGCGCATCGGCACGAAAAAAAAAAAAAAAAATTAGAAAAATCCAATAAAATCTTCTGAAGTGAGTTACGACGGATTTTAAATGTGTATCGAGAGAAATCGCTTGAGCAAATGTTTTAAATCTGCGTGCGACAAAAAAATTTCCGTTTACACAAGATTCTCGCGATCCGCGGAATTCGATGTAGGTAGGTATTACACCGTGCGAGTGCGCTCACATCGATCCGTCGTCGACACTCACTTTCCTATTTCCGGATTATCCGTGTCTATGTCGATCTCGTCGAGCGTAAACGGCTCCAACGGCGGAATACCCAGCTCCGGGATGCCGTTGCGCATTCGTCCACGGAATTTCTCCAGGAATCTTCGCAGCTTGAACTCAAATCCTCTCGAAGCTGCACTGTCAACTGTCGACGCGGATTCGACGACGATTAAGCATTTAAATTGCAAATTAACAAATTAACTATTACGCGCATGTGTATCAATTCACTCACTGTATCCGGTAGTCACTCGGGTGGCGTTGATCAATAAGTTCCTTGGCCTCTCCACTGCATTGGTTACTGAGACACAAGAAAACAAGAATGTCTATCTGTTAATTACGATCTTGTTTATTCCGTTCATCCGATTATACGCGCTTTGCTTGTTATTGCTGCCGCTAAGAGAGCTCAGGCATTTAACTTTTCAGCGCCGCGAGGACCTGTGTGCTATTTCACTCGCCTCATCAACCTTTTTTTTCTATTTTTTATTATTGCACGAGTAATACGCGCGATTACAATTAAATAAGATCGTAAAAAAAAAATGCAAAACTCATTTAATTTCGCGTAAAAAACATGTGTAACAGAAGACGATGAAACTTTCTCTCTATACAGAGCATCGATTTAAGTGGCACACATAAGTCGTATTTTTCTTCAAAACTCTCCAGTATTAAACTTAGATGATTTTATTAATTCGGAATGTGAATTTTAACCGAAAAGCAGATATATTAATTTTTCCTGAACTGACACAAAAGTAAACAAACCAACAGAGTTCTATTTGAATTGATATTAATATCTTCTCGTATATTTACGTAATTGAAGTTTGCATTTGAATATTATTCAAAGTTATTAAAATTTATTCACTCATTTATATACAAGTACGCATATGTATAAATAAAATATATTTGAAGCGCGGTATAAAAACAAAAAAATATAAATGTTTGGGGGGAATGATTGTAATTTTTTAGGATAAGATCCAATAAAGTAACTAAATATTTAATACGAGAGTAATTAATAATACGTTCACACATGAAGACGTTTTGCTTTGCGCAAGAGAAATATACAATATTGAATCAAAACACACAGGTTTCTCAGCACCGAGAGAGATTGTAGATAGAGAAGCGCGAAAGTGGTCTCACATGCATAACATAGCAGAATCATTAATTTTAATCGCATCGCGATGTGTCTGCCTGCATTTTTGTCAGCATCTTTGACATTTGCTTATTTGCATTTAAAACACGCACTACTGTGCACATTGCGAAATTTCAAATTTATTCCGCAAAACTATTTAATGAAACATTTATTGCAACACACCGATTTCATGATCTTCGTGCGTATTGCTATAATTTTTTACTTGTTGAAAAAAAAGTAAAAAAAGTATCACAACACTGACAAATAATTATTTCTCTGATATGTGTTACATTCTCGCTACTTTTATTCTTTTTCACGTTTGTATTTAATGTTGTTGTTGTTTTTTTAGAGTTATAATATTTCCCCGTCAACATCGCGCTATCCGTCTTGTCTGAGACCAATTAAAAAAAAAAAATCAGTTTCTAGAAAAGTTCATATTCATGTATATTTGCGCGCAATTTTTTTTTATCGAAGAAAAAAATATAATAATTATAATCTTTGTTGTAACTATAACGTATCTTTATTATAAACATAACGTATCTTTATTATAAATATAATTTATTTTTATTATAATTCTGCATATTCGAGGATTTTCAAACATCCATTATTTAAATCGCTCAAAGTCGCGTTTTTCTATTGAAAAAAAGATTTAATAATTCCATCAAGGGTAAGGAAATAAAAGTTCATACAGAGTATTTGATCGGGATCAGTTTAAAACGGCATGAAAGAAGTAATTCGATTTATTATTCAAAGCGCAATCGGGAGTTAGTAAGCTTCTCTGATGCAATTACACGTGTATCATACTGCTCGCGGCAAAGATAAACGTAATCTTCCTTAATCCGTGGTGTCGATTAGTGTGTTTGTTATGTCATGTTGTTATTGATCAAATTACGAGACAAACACGATGTAATTCTTCATTTGACATCTGTGTGTATACATATTTGCATCTCTGAACTCGACTCTACGCGCGGTCGGAGTTGCATTAACGCAAATTATCTTCTTCAACGTTCCGCGAAAACATAATTACTTGCTAACCTTTCAACAGAACCCATGTAATCTACGTTACGATTGAAGTTGTACAAACACACAGACGATACGGAATATTAACGAAAAATTTTTATTTTTTCTTGTTCCGAGATAAAAGATAGAGAAACATTTTGTGTTTTGTAAATATCTTTTGCAGGCTCTTCGAAAGAAAACAGCATTAATTTTTCTTACTCTCTTTCTCTCTCTCTTTCTTCCTTTTTGCACTTAAGGGGACTGTCCCGGAAGCGCTGAAATAAATAACGCTCTCTTCCTCTCTCTCTCTCTCTCTCACTCACTCTCTCCCTTTCTATCTCTCAATACAGAATTGTTATAAAGAACTGTTATATAATCGCAAGCATATGCAAATGTTTAAGAAGTGCACTTCTGTGTGCCTTTTTTAAGAATCTGCATTGTTGAAGCCGCATTAAAGCCGCAAAGTGCATAAGCTTTTCTTTGAGAAAGATCGATTTGCAATTTGTGAAAACACGTACTGAGATTCGTTGCGGTATCCGTAACGCGATGCAAGAGTTCTTTTTGTCGTTTCATGAATCCTGTTACTGTAAAAAACGATTAAAAGTCACAGCGAAACATTCTTCTTTTGTCAGTCTGAACGCTGATTACGAAAATCTTTTGCAATCATTATATTACGTCGATGACGAAATAATAATTGTCAGTGGTGCATCGTATATAATAACTTACTAATATTAAAAACAAAATAATAATAATGTAAACATAGTGCAATATAAAATTTGCGGCTAAATAATTGTCATTTCAGAATATATACAATATTTTTTTCGATTATTATATTGTAAATTACAGCAGACCGGTACTATATATATAAATACTTTAGCGTGTTCTCATATTTCTGCGATATCTTACAATTTTAAAATTCATATTGAAATGCACATTACGTGCACATAATTCATATTTGTCGTTAACATACTCATCTCTTTGATATGTAAAAGCAGTCATATCTGCGCAAACCAGACGTGACTAACAATGACGTGTAGAAGACGAGTACAAAGTGTTCTTTCGCGTCAATCTCATTATGAGAATTCTATTTTATTGACAGATATCATTATTCAGTACGCGTTAAAGAAAAATTCTCTAACGCGATTACCATTCGTTGCATCTTCTCGTTTGAATCATATCGTTTCCGCGAACAAACGTGCGAATGAATATCTTTCAGTGATGATTGCGCGCGCGCGATAATGGATTTCTTCTCTAACAATTGAAGAAAACATTAAGTTCAATCTTCTTGGAAACTATCTTAGAAAATTGGAAAATTATCTTAATCGTGGAAATATAAAAAGAAGTAGAGAAGAAGATTGCGCGACAACAAAAAATATATAAAAAACAGGAGTTCATAAATTAGATATTAAAAAAAAAAAAAAAAAAAAATACAACTTCCTTCTGATAAATTTTGCTCGCGAGCTTCGTGCGCGCCAGCTGAAAAATCGATAGTTCAAATACAGTTTATCTATATTTGAACTGCGACTATTTTTTTTTTTTTTCACAATAATTGCATAATATATCATACCGTAATGTCAATGTAAATGTTCTCTATATGTCAACATCATGCGAAATTATCACGAATATTTCTATCACAAGGCCTCGTTTTTTTTTGCCTCCTCGCAGTAGTGGTAGTTTTATTTTAAAATTAAACGATAGGAAATAAATTATAACATTTCGCAAACGAGACGAGTGTGTAAATTTAGTACCTGAGAAGTGTTGCTCAAATTAAAATATCACAGCTATAATCTATCTTAGCAAATTTTGCTAATTAGAAATATTTGGATCACCGTTCGACGTAATAATCTTCGATGAATTTAGTATCTAAGAAATTAATCAAATTAAGATATATTGCTAGAGCTATAGCTCGTCTCGCAAATTTTGCTAATTAGAAATATTTAGGTCACCGGGTGTAATAAATTTCACGTGTTCGACTGTCTGCAATACTTATTTGAGAAACATCTGCCACTTTTATATTTTTATTTTTATTCGCAAATTATTAAACGACGAATAAATTTCTAAAATTTCTCAAAAGCATCTTCTTTTTCATATCAATACTTTGCGCAATTGTTTCGACACAGTTTCTTAACGAAAAGAAGATTTTTCAGATCGTTAATGCTTTATCTCACAGTTCAAACATTTTTTATCTCATTTTATTCCAGATAATAAAGTTCCTCTTTTTGTATTTTTGTCGAACGTTGATAAAAATATCTCTTATACGCGTATTCAAACATCGCATTAAATACTCTGTTTAAATTCTACAATTGGTTTTGGACGTTTTATGGAACTTTTTTTTTTTTTTTATAGAGGTTATATCACAGTGACCCCAGACACACCCACACACATACACATGCACGATACGTGAATATGTGAATAGACCATTGAAATTCTATCTCACAATCAGCTGAAGAAATTCAACCTTGAATTAACCAGTTTTTGATTTCTCAAACAAGTCACCGTGATACAATGCTAATTGCGATTGTGTCAAAGCAGCTCCTCTCATTATAAATGTAAATGGAACTCCGTGTTATCTCAATTTCAATCACGTCATTTTATGTTATATTGACAATGCAACACGAGAAACGTTTTGCAGTTATGAGAGTTTTTAACATGTATCTCGAATCGTATATTTTGTTCAAAATTTAGATATAAATTTTTCGAATATAATACAAGATTATTATAAAGAAAAAGTATACATATTCGTTGTATGATCCCGGGAAGAGAAAATTTCTCAATTTATGTTTAATTTACATTCAAAGCATCAACTTCCATTGAGCACAATAACAATATATTGAATTCTTATATTAAAAATCTATTTTTATAAAAATAATTTCCGTTATCTCACATGAGCGGTCATCGTACGCGGTATACTGCGCGGTGATCTTATAAATATTTAATCAGCCAACAGTTTTAATAAGTCGCAATTATAATTATTAATACGTTAACTGTTTATATTACAATATCGTCATTCGATATCAACGATATATTTATTAAATAAAAATATTCTCATTTTTAATACAGATAAGAGATATTCAGTTTTAGTGAGTTCAGAGCAAATTTATACTACAAGAGTTACAATATGTGTAAATAGCCATTAAATTTACCACAAAACCCATTTTTTTTTTTATATCAGCCGTACAATTACGTGTATAGGTATATAAAACTCGTGTTTTAAACACCGACCTTACGGTTTGCCGTGTTTGCATTATCTCTTACAGTTGTTATTCTCAAAAAAATATTTGCTGGAAATATTTTATTTCCAGCAGATTTAGTGTACAAAACTTTCGCGCTGCGAATAATTTCGCGATAGCGAAAAAATCAACAATTAAAGATTATCGGACTTACGAAAATTGGTCGCGCTGTTCGCAACGTTACCGATGCCGTCTAACAGGGTGGAGGGCAAGGGCTCGGTGGGCAATGCGTGTACCACCGCAATTCCGACAAGGGCGATGCGTATCATCGTCGACGCGCGACAAGTCGTTGCCGTACGTCCGCACTTCATCGTTTGCGCGGCGCGATGACAGTTTCTCCTCTCGCAAGTAAATCGCGGAAAAACGCGGAAAAGATGCCGATCAACCCCCTCTCGTGGGAGCAGAAAGACTGACTGACAAGATGAAAACCATTGCGGACTGTAGCTCACTGTACACGAATCACAGTCGCTTGCTCTCTTGCTGCTTACTTACACACACACACACACACACACACATATTTGCGGACAGTTGCAGACGCGTGTAGAAGTGCCGAGCGCGTCCAGCGAAAGTGAACGTTTTCTACATGCGCGTCGCATTTTACACACACGCATTCACCTCGTCACCTCTTGTCCGCTTCGACTTGTCGAAATACGCAATGCTCGAAAAGCTGATCATGTACGGATTAATAATGTGTGTGTCACGCGAAATTCAAAACTTCTTCGCGTTCGTGATGACGAATACACGCTTCAATTCGGAATCAATTCGCGATTGCTGTAAATAGGAAGAGAGAGAAAGTATGAGAGAATGATTTTTTATTTATTTTTTTATTTATTTTCTCAGAAGAGGTTTCAGAGGAAACTGACCTCTCGATTAATTCCCGTCTCTTGCGTCATACCAGAAGGAAGTCATACCAGACGGTATCAGTTTTCGACGGCATTGTAGTATGTGTGCAATTATTTTCACTCTCTCTCTGTCTCTTTCTCTCTCTCTCTCTCTTGTTACCTCCTAAAGTGACTAGACGAGAGGTCTCCTACACTGAAAAAAAAATAGTTTTGTTGAGATAACAAAAATTTGATAAGTCAAATCAAATAAAGTGTTCGGCGAAAACCAAATTTTGGTTCAGATCACCAAAATTTGGTAATCTCAACAAAACTATTTGTTCAGTGCACAAAACGTGACACACACGTGAGTATCTACGATTAGCATATTCACGTGTTACGAATTCCGCGAATCACGCTAGCTTGTCATATGTACAAGAGCGTGCATATATGTTAGCGCGAAAGTGAAGGCTACACACACGCACATGCGCCAAATACATGTATACACGCTCTTTCTTTCTCTCTCTCTCTATCTCTCTCTTTCTCATACTATTATATGATGTTACGTTTGAGAGATCGCTGTGATCTATCACGCAAAAGTTCGAACAAAGTAAAAGTCTTTCAATGACCGGACATGTATCAATGGTCGGACATTTATTGGAGAGAAATAATTATTAGATTTGTAACATTGCATACATTAAATTAGATTTTAAAAATTTTCAGTGTTTTATGTATGTTTTAAGATGTGTATTTAATTATTTTATAATTTCCGACGCTTTTACGCGTGTGTAAATTCTTTGTTATGATTATTTTCCTTTAACAAATGTCCAGCCAATAGTATTTTTTTTTTTTTTTATCAATAAAACATTTGTCTTACGCGACAATTTCGTTTATTAACTTTATTCGTCGTGAGCACACGCTCTTTTGCGGATAATCCTGTGAAAACGGATGTAAATCGCGAAGTAGTTTTATCGTTATTGTTTAAATGCAGACGCGTGCGAGAAAACAGGAAATGTAGAAATATACAGATGCCGTTATCTACGATCGCGTGTGCGAAAAAAATTGTGCATTTTATGCGCCGACCTTGCACTTGCTTTTGAATACTGACGTCACATATACGTTGCAATATCGTCGTGAAAACGCTCGCACAAAGGAATCATCGGCCATCACTGTCGCGCGAGCGACTCGCACTATAATTGCATTTCCTTTCTTTTTTTTGTTTTAGGTCGCTATATACAGTTTGGTTTGATTCTTTGTGTCCGTTGCTTCCGCGAGTGCACTATTGTAACACGCAACTGAATTAACGAGCTGTAGCGTAGTTTTAGATTCGCTCTTGCGAATGAATGTGTGTAAGGGATTGTCGCATCGGGAACTTTCGGAAACTGCGACTGTGATGAAACAAGTTTGCGTTGCAATTACATAACACGTATCTTAACACGACAACAACAATGAAACGCAATAATTCAGATTTTTGTATTTTTTTGATGACGGCATTTTTTCCGCTCATAAACAAAAGAATATACAATCGTTATTATTCAACTTTCAATGTGTTTTTACATATTCGTATTTAAGTGATTGTAAAAAAGAAACTGGTAAACACAACCGTGTATTTAGAGCCGGTGATGTTTGTTTAATTATTCAGTGCATTAAAAAAATTAGATTGTCATATATGTTACATGGATATAAATGTGCGAGAATGACGCGAAATGAAAAACTATAGCCTGCAGGGTTTTCCGATCAGCCTTGAGATAAGATCACCTTGGTTTTTTCGATCGCCTAGTTTTTCTTGATCGCGAGCCAGGTTAAATCGATATTATATAATCGGCTTACGCTAACGCGGAAATGCGTGAAAGTGACGATATATGCTCGCGGCTGACGCCACGATAAGTGTAAGGTAAATTAGTTAGGATAAACGTCGGAGAGAGAGAGAGAGAGAGAGAGAGAGAAGAGAGAGACAGAAAAAAAGAAAAATGTATGAAGAGAGGCGTAAAAGTACTTAACTTTGTGCATGACTTTTACGTGCGCGAACCGCTTACGTGACGCGCATCGTTATCGTCGGATCGGTAGCTGTTAGACAATACCACCTCGTGTGCTATTCTCCATCTCGAGTGAGCATCTTCGTAGCATCGTAACGAGATATTACACGGTGAGCAAGAAGTCACTTACCTTGAAGAGACCAAGAAACTCGCAGAAATATTTGTCCGTATTGTATATTGATGTCCAAACTTTATTTTTGTTTTTCTTTTTTTGTTGCTTCTTACAATTAGTGATATGTGTTGCGTATATATAAAATCGCTCGATATACTACTGCAACACAGTCATGTACAACAAAGAGATTAAATGCAAAACCCATGTGTGGTATTCGATTTTAATAAGATTGTATTTATAAATATATAAAAAATAATATATACGATAAGCTAAAAGATATTCTATATTTGATACATTTTGTAATGCGCGCGTCTCTCTCATGCGAGCGTAGACAAGTACGTATATAAGTAATTGGATACGCAACAGATAATAATATATTTATAATTGTTATACGCAATTCACACATTAAACTCGCTTCTACAATTGTAGTTATGAGATGAGTCAATATGTACAATTCACTTTTATACACATAACGATATTAATAAATTCGAGCGCAATCTCGTTGTTCTCGATGATAAATTTATTAATCGGTGTGTGTGTGTGTGTGTGTGTCAAATCATCGATAATGCTCTCGTACCTTAATGCAACAAACGCATATTTCCGCCAGATCCGACGTATCTCTCGCTCGAAAGTTAACAATTAGAGGGATTTGCGGATAGCTAATAAAAAAATATGTTTTTTCTCTCCAGAACAAATGGGATTCTTGCGTAGAACGTGCGGTGATCCGGAATCACACAGTATTTAACGCCCCACGGATTGCGCTGTGGTGGGTCTCGGATAGATCCATGGATTTGGCGCGTAAGGCGGTCTTTGAGGTATCGGATAAGCCGTAATTGCTCCGGATTTGAAAGGACTCGGAGTCGGTATTGCGTGCGCAAATACCACGAGACCCACCAAAATTATTTCGACGACTTTTTTCAACAGCAGAATCTGAAAAATAAAGACATGTTTTTAATTAAATATTATCAAATTAAACAAATGAGACACTTCTCCAAAATTTCACTCTTCTATCTGCTGTAATTTTTTTTTGTTTTTTAAGAGTTTTACGTAAGAAAATTAATCGATCTCGTGCATTGAGCGTCGGTCGTAAATCATCTTTTGTATTGAATCTGTTATATTGCAGTTATATTAAGGAAGCTGCGTTTTTGCGCGAGAAAGTGGAATAATTGACTTGAAATAATATCTCTGCGTACAGAATTGAATTCGTTCTCGTAGTCGATTACTCTCGATGTAGCTTTTGCGGTGGAAATACTAACTGAGCTCGTTCAAATGCAGGAATCAATTGTAGATGGGCGTGCAATTTATGTTGTAACCAACCGCGCACAGGAAAGACTGACTAAGAGAGAGAGAGAGAGAGAGAGAAATCCTCAGAAATCTTATTTAATTTACGTTCAAAAACGGAAACGAACGACTCACAATCGCATTAGTACTGAACGTTACTCCGACACGCAACGTTCCGGGTTTATTTTCCGCATAAATCTCGCAGCTTTAATTTTTTGTCAATAAAACCGTGATAGATCAGAACAAATGTCAAGAAAATGTAAATTATAATTTGAAAATTACGCTCAGAAACATAAATTACAACGCGAATGAAATTGTCGTTTTCTCTTTTCTCGCTTTATTTATAGTTGTTAATTTAAATTTCGTTGCAATTAATTTTGACGTTGCGTACGTTTAACAAAAGCGTTCGGTTGCGTAATTATGCGTATTTTGCGCGAAATTAAGGACGACATTTATAAATAAATTTTACAATTCTCTCAACAAATTATATTATTCGACAAATTTATCTAATTATGGCACGCGCGCGAAATTACCGATAAGAGAAAAGCACGTTTTATTGTAAAACGCTAACGTTTTGTGTTCGCGGTACGCTTATAATATTTTACCATGATATGCGCGCGAGATCTCTCTACGGTTCTTGGCGACGATTGTTCGATGAAGTGAAAGAAGTAATCTTCTCGAACACGTTTGGCAGATTTTATACACCGGTGGCTTTTGCGCGGGTGGGGATATTTGGGTCAGGAAACGAGAATATTGTGTCCACATTTTGTCCACGTCCGAGGAAATGCAAGAAAGTTCCGAAGAACCGCAGATGTTCGTTTTTATTTATTTATTTTTTTTTTTTTTTTTGTCGTTCGCGTGTGTTTCCAACATTTAATTAAAACGGAGATGCGCACGTCAGAGTGAATGCAGATTGCAAAAAGAAATTATGGGAAATAAGATATATATACATGTGTAGTGTTTAATTAGTGTCGCAATTTATATGAATACTGTTGTACAAGCATATGTTAACGCAATTATTATTATTAATAAAATGCGCTATACAATTATCTCGCTTCGATATAATTAGAAATGTAGATACGCAATTATTCGCATCACAGATAATAATAAAGATTAAAACACAAATATGAAATATAATATTTATTAAGTACCGGGCCTCGTTGTGTGAAGAGAGCGAAGAATTTCTTGCGAAACAATTTGCTTAATCCCACGGAGAGGCCAAAAGACATCCTAAAGATGTCTAAGAGACAATAAAGCGTCTTTTAGAGATCCGTGGTGTGTTTAGATATATCGAAAAACGACAGGCTACAATTAACTAAGGCCTTGACACGCTTACGGCTTGTGTGTATACATCGAATGAATAATATTCTATCTATAGGCGCTTTAAACATCTCGTAAATTCGGAACACAGTTTCCAAAAATTTTGCCGATCGTTATTATGATAACGCGATTCTTTGTGAGAATAAAGCGAGAATTCGTAAATATATCGAAATCTCTTGTACACAAATATATGATTCGCGCATATCATAGCAGTGCTATGATACTTTTTTCGTGCACCTATGCGCGCGCTCGTGAGTGTGTGTGTGTGTGTGTGCGTTCGCGCGTTTTTTATCTTTAACATCAACTGTGCAATTAAGTTTTCTTTAATCTACTTATGCGCGTCAGAGCAATGAGCAATATATGTTAATAAAGTTTTTGTACGCAATTCATCGTCGCGATTATTTTATGATTCATTTTATGATTCATTAATTATTAGAAAAAACAATGTATTATGTATATGTTTAAACACACTCGTAACTCATATGACTACTGTAATGTGTGTAAATTGTATTAGCTATAAAAAAAAACTTTTGCGCGCGAATTACACCTTCAATGTCCAACTAAGTGTCATTGGAAAAAAAACAATTTAATAATATATCATTAATATAATTATCATTTTCACGAAACACACAATTGTTTCAATAATTATGAATAAGAGAAAAAGAGTAAAACAATCAATATAATCTTGCACTGGTCTAATTGTTTAAATATATTTTTCTAACTGGTAATTGTTTAAATATATTTTTCTATGTAATAGATGAACTGAATCATCTAATCTTTGAACACAAACGCACACACACACACGCATATATAGTATATACATATATAAGAACATTTATTTTAATATTTATTGTACGTGCTTTCAAATTTAATGTCTTCTTCGACTGATGAATATATGAATGCCGCGAGTCTCGATTGTTTAACTTATCGCGCAATGTTCTAGCCAATCACAGTCGCTCAAATAGTCGCTTCCGTTCATCAAGGGACTCTATAGGTTTGTTTGCGTCGCATGCTCCAACATGCTCCTATTCGTTCCAACGCGCTTTTTTTCAATAAAACTTTAATGAAACTTCAAAACTTTTTTAATAAACTTTTTCAATAAAAAAAAAGTCGCACTCAGTGCGCACTAGTGCAGGCTACCGAATTCGCTGTTAGGACGCGTTAGGACGAGTAGGAGCATGTTGGAGCATGCGACGCGAACAAATCTTATATTACGCAGATGCCAGTCGGAAATGACCGGAAAAGATCAAAACCCAATAAACTCTATTGTAATAGTGTGTAATAGTAGAAGAAAAATAGTAGATACACTTTTATCTCCGTTTTCTCCAACCTCGACCGTTTCCTAAATATTAAAGCGAACGCTTCAATATAAGCCGATCCATTCACAGCCCGATCTTATATTTAAGACTGAGATAATCTTAAATAAAATGATGTGTTAATTAATGAGACGACTCGTACAGCGTCCTAAGATCATTTTCATCACTTTATTCATCACAGACCTATCAGTTTTCTTTCTCTCTTAGTTTTCATTGGCCCACAGTGTCTCGCGTTTCTTTTGTTTCTTAATGTTGGATAAAAACAAAGAAGTAGTTTCTTTTCTGTCTCAAGTCTTACATCTCTCTCTCTCTCTTCGATCGTTTCGTAGTAACATTTATTTTTCATTCAAGCAAACATTTCCCAGCGATATTAGTACGGAACAATTACAAACTGAATTCTTTGGCACGCAGATCAACGCGAAAAAGAAGGATAGGCAAAAGAGAAATAGTATACGTAACTGGAATCAACATGTCTAAATTATCTGAATACGTTTCTATCGAAAGAACGGTTAGGTCTTTCGACGAAGAACCGGCAGCGTATCTCGAGCCACCTTTTGCAATTTTAACCGCTGGTGCCATGACACCAGAAGAAATTACAACAACCGCGATATGTTGGATGTTAAAAAAACGTCCCATTATAGTTCCCGTGAAACGGCTAGTGCTGACTGGCGAGAATTTAGAAACTTTGCACAAAATTGAAAAGTATCCCAAGTCAGATCAAGTGATGATCTTCATTGGGATGGCAGGCCTTATGACTCTCGCCAAGGAAATTAACTTGTCAGAAACCAAACCCAATTATGATTATCTTCAAAAAAGGTGGCATGCAATCTGCACAACATTGGGAATTGAAGATGTAATTGCCACACAGCTTACAAAACGTGACATGTATTTAGGACTTATGAATGTTCTGGTATCCTGGCAGAATTGGATCAAGCCTCGTGCAACAATCAGAAAACATTTTCTAGATCTGGCATTACAAGAACAACCTTCTGGAACACCAACTCTTGTGAAGCAAGCCTTGCTGCAAGTAAAAATGATTCTGCATAATTTTGGAATGAGGACTATCTTACTCATGGATAATTTTATCTATTCCAAGATCAAAGCTGTTATGCTTCCTGCTATTGCTCAACAAGCCGCGGACTTACGAAAAGCTCTGACGGATCTCTATGATAAATACAAGGAGAAATTTCACTATCTGAAGGTCTATCCACTAGAAGGTGTTGAGAAAATATATTGCAAAACTTATCCCGATTTATATTATGCAACGATAATGGCAGCAAATAACAAAGCACTGGAAAAAATGCAAGTTACAGTAAATAAGTTGTACACTAGCACTCCAAAACATATCATAAAAAGCTTGTTGAAGCAAAAGATGAAAATACCTCTTGACGTGACTATTCCGCTTAGTCGAAAGTATCTAAGAAATGAATGTAGTTTACCGCAAACATATTATATAGATGAAGATGACGATTATGACAAGTCATCTTTCCTGAAACAAAGATATTTTTAAACAACTTCTTCATTAAGGACTGAGATGCTCTATCAAAACCATGACGAATTCAGACTGAAAGGATAAATACGTACAAGAAACTTCATCATCCAGGGACGTGAGAAAAGATCAGAATCTTCCGATGAGCAAACTGAAGAAATTGAGTATACGAGTCAAAATCTTCAGATTACAATTCTCTTAGTAGAAGTAATATCAAGAAACGAAAGCAAAGAAGAAAAGAAAAAAGAAAAATCTTGCAAAATATGCAGATAAAATTTGCACACGGTTTGTTTTTTCAAGTTTAATTGCCAAAGATTAGGTTATTGAAAAAAAAACTTAATATATAATTACTATCTTTAACAAAAAAACAGAGTTTCAATGGAGTGAGATATGGTACAAAGTTTCCTAATACAGAAATGTATGTACTATAAATGTATATATATTAGTAACAAACTCTAAAACTATAATGTAACTTGAGAAATGTTTAATTTGTCCACTATAAAAACAGTACGTACACAATATGTATAACAGTACATAATATAAAAAAATTTATTTACATAAAAGTCACATTATATATAATCATACATTGTGTATAATATAATCTTATAGAATATAAATGTTTAATCTTTAACTATATTAAGTGAGAGCAAAAGTTTTGATGGATTTTGTGGTAGAAAAATGGGCCAAGTAACTTTATTAAAAATGATTTATTGCATAATATATAAGATTAAAAGTATATATGATCTTCCGAATGATCTATATATTTGTAAAGTGTTGTCATAAAACTGGGTGAGTCACAAAATCTTTGAGAAATCCATCAAAACTTTCAATATTATAAAATTGTAAAACCTGTTAATATTGAACTTTTTAGGTTTATTTTTTTTTTTTTTTTTAGTTTTGTATTTTATTTTTGTAACACATTGTCCTCTCAACGTTCATATAAAAAATTATGCACTAATAGTTTATAACAGGGACGTAGATTGTTGTATTCTTTCCGTTGTTTCACATATTACATGTATTTTCGTATTTTATGTTTTAGTATTATATTTGTGAAACTCTTATGGAACTTTATTTTGCATGTAAAAGCAACAGAGAAATAAATCTTGAAAATTACGTATTCTCACAAAACAATCTAAACTTTTATAAACCTATAGGAAACATGATGTAAAAAAAAGTAGATATACTACTTTAAATGCATTGATTTAAAAAACTTATATTCTCTATGTACACGTGACTTCAAAAAAATAAAAACATTATGCAACTTCTAAACGTATTTGTAACGTGTGCGTGCATATATATATATATATATATATACATATATGATATTAAAATTTATGATTGTATTTATGACATGATTTAAAAATAGATTCTAGTTCAATTATTTTGTTGAGTTTCTGAAGTATTATTCTGTAAAGATGGCGTCACAGTTTCATCGTCACTTTGTTCACTCGCATGCTTGGACCACGATGTAAAATGAATAAGCCTAAAAGGAGATAAAATTGCAAAAATTAAATTTATCGAATGAAATAAACTTTATGAATTAAAAGTAGAATCTATTTACATAACGAGCAGAAGTACGGCAATTTGTGTAGAAAACGTCACCCAGAAAAAAGAGGTTGGTGCCGTTTTTATCGTGGCGTTGTAAATTTGAGTGTATAAAATACCACTGAACAACGGTACTGCATTGTCACACACGGAAAGCATCGCGAACACTTTTCCTGAAAATAATCACAATGTGATACGATTATTTGTTTTCTGTCGCGGCAAAATCAAATCGTTGATGTAGCATAAAATTGAAACGCAGCAGCTACATTTTCATCTTGAATTTCTGATGAGTTTGACAATATCACATTTCGACATAACACGATATAGAGATAAGTGATGAGTGCCGGAATTAAATTTCGACATGAAAATGATATCCTTATTTATGATAATCTAGACATTTACACAAAATCTATTTTCATTGTGATGATATCGAAAATTAAAACTACGTTTGCATGCCAATTACTTTTTCGTAAAAGATCAAAATGACTCATGTTGTTTTTGTATCGCAAGTTATGTGTCATCAAGTTTTTGTATATAAAAGTTTTAATTTATTATATTATAATATTAAATAAATTTCCGTTGTAAAAGTTTGTCATTGTTGAATAACAAATGTAAAGTTAGATACAAAATTTACCTCGTTCTTCCACAGATATAAGTTTAGAAGTCATAGATCTAAGTACAGGAGCTACCACAGGTCCCAATGCTGAAACTACAGCACCTGTGAAAACAAATTATTATAAATTTCTTATTTTATATAATTCACTCTTTTGAATATGCAACATGTGTGTATAATATCTCCATTTGCAAGTAATGAAAATATAATCTTTGATATTTTTTATGTGTAGGAAACACAGTTTTAAATATATTTATAGAGATATGTAAGATATATGATAGTGAGACTAGAGAAAAAAGTAATAGGAATTGTAAGATACTTGCCTATATAAAATACTGTCGGAGTATTCGCGAGAATATATAATATTCTTCCGCTTGCATGTGACATTGCTCCAACTACTACAATAAAGACATCCTTCATTCCCAATTTATGCATAATAGGCACACCACCAAGCATTGCTGTTAGACCAAAAGTTATTTCAAGTTGTTATTATAAAATTTATCTTTTTGCCTCTTATTTTCAGTTTTATATAAAAATTGTCACTACATAAACATAAAAATCTCAATATATGTAATATATTTTTATCAATATGTTATTAAATTTATATGTAAAAAATAACCAAGTCCTCTGTCGGAAAATTAATAGACTCCAAGTCAATAATCGCTAGCTTGCCGAAGTCAAGCGCGAACAGCGTCAACAATTTTATACATCTTGCACTTGGTATTTCACTTTATACTTCCGTATACAAAGAATCGAGTTTTTACCCTATAATTTCAACTTTCATGTAACAAGGTTGTAAGTTTTTTTTTTTTTTTTTTTTATTCAGTGACACAAACAAATTAAGTGGAAGTGAAAGTTTCTGATAAAAATTTTCTCCTTTCACTCGACTCGTTCAAAACTCAACTGGCAACCTAAATTCGGACATTGTTAACCGATCAAGTTTGCAGTCAACTGACCTGCAATATAGAGAGATGATAGTAACGTTTTGTAGTTACTGAAGTCAGTTACAGTCCACTTAAAGATCAGCGAAGTGTACAGCTGAGTTTTGATTTTTTCATCTCTCTGAAACGTGTAGAAGAACATGGCCGACAAAAGCAACCACAGATGCAATTTGCCGTGATTGAGTCTCGATTTCACCATCGTTCGCACAGTGCTAGCAACATGTCTCATGTCAAAGAAGTCTATCAACCAGTTAGCACCGACTAGCGGTTGTTGTCGCGGTGACGTTCGCCACTTGAGCATTAAAAGCGAGTACAGAATCGTCAGCGCGAGCAAGCTCGCATTTATCATAAACATAATCGTGTACGACGAGTTGACCACATGAGTAAACACATACGATCCGAGTGCGACACCTGCAAAAAATAAACCAAAACCTTAAAAAACCACAAACAACAAATCTTTCATACATATGTACATACATTGTGAATGCTTTCGCGGAAAAAAAAAGAGACAACAGAAAAGAATGCTAATCAGAATTAATAATCAGAAATAACGTCATCTTGTCAAAACTCATTAATATTAATCAACGTTCCGACGAGTGAAACAAGATTGATGTTACGTAACAAATACATGCGCGCAGTTAACTAAGTGATGTAAAATCAGAAGACGTTTTTAAAAATGTTAATCGTTCGTAAAAGTTAGTATCTACGTAAAACTTTGTAAACATTATATATTTATCCAAACGATTATCGTGTTTTACAAGAAAATTGATCTTAACCTATGGGCATAGTGCTGAGATAGGTGGCATCTAAAATTGTGATTCTCAGAGTTCTCTGTTGCACAGAACATATGTCCGATATGTAAGCGAAGCAACTGGCAAAGATAGCAACATTGCCGCCGAGAAAACTCATCGGTAGTGTGGCCGTGTACACTACCATGTTCAGATGCCAAGTGTCCATTATGGAATTGATTACAATCATCACGGAGTAAATTAATTTGCCGATCAGACCAAGAATGAGCGGCAATTTACGTCCGTGCCGATCACTCCAGTTCCCGTAGAACATCGCCAAAATAATAGGTATCAAATGTCCAGCAATGTCGTTCCATTGTTGAAACTTAGCAACGGTTATCTGCAAGACAACCGGTTTTTTAACGGGACATGATTGAGAAGTAGAGGTAGCAACTTTGTCACAACTCGGAAGCTTTCTTAGAATTCATCTATTTCAAGAGTCATTCATCTATTTCAAGAGTCATTCTGTTTCAAAGAATTGAATAGAAGTGAAAAAATTGAAATATCGAATGTTCGTATATTTTGCAGTTTAGAGCGTATTGAGTGCGTCAGTTGTACGCGGAAATGTGTACAGAATCTTTCTTTGTATTAATTGTTTAGATAAGAAATACTTTTTACATGAGCGCACCTGCACTGCGGTTTTTATCTCTTCATTGTTCATTTTCAAGCATTCCTTTTCTGAATATCCGTGATCTACTCGACATGCTTTGTATCTGAAGAAGTCTTGCTCGATAACCGACGTGAACATAAAGGCCATCATATAGAGCCACATAGTCGGTTCTACCGATATGTGTTTTAACCAACCAAAATATTTTCTGCACACGGCGTTGCATCCCGTTGATGACATCGTGCGGAACTTGCAAACTGCTCACCGTAATATCACACAAAATCGTCGATTCCTTTTACTCTTGATATTTACAAACGCTGGAAGAAAACAACAAATTTTTGCGAACATTGGAAAACTTATGGGAATTAAAAAAATTTTATGAAGATTTCGAGTAATATGGAGATGAAAGAAAAATATGAAATTTTTCTCTCTCGCGCGCGCTCTCCGTCTTAAACGAAAAACTTATGACGCTGCTCGTATTTTAATTCTAGATAAATATAATTTAGTAATTATTAAATTTTATAGTCACATTTTAATATTTTCTGTGATTGCACATTATCAAAAAAATATCAAACGCGATGTTTCTACCAGCTCTCTTTTTATTTAGCTACTGTTTTATTAGATTACATATACTTATGTTTAATAATTTATCAGCTTGTAAATCTGAAAATTTTGTTTTAAATAAAAAAAAGTTAATAACGTTTTCGATATTCTTTTGTCAAAATGCAAAAATCTGAAAAAAAAAAAAACAATTAAATTAAGCTCGTGCGCAATGCCACATGTGAACAAGGAATACAAGCGTTTCAGTGGTTACATAATTTATTCTTGTCTGTGCGTTATCGTGTTGTCTTCTAAATCGAGAAGATAAACGCGTTCAACGCTCGTCATCTATTCAAACTAATGATTTCACGTCATCATAGTTGCTTAAATAATTGCGCAATGATGCGCGAAGACATTTATCTTGCGTCCCCAATTACTTATGTGCGATACATTCCGCTATGCAACGCACTAAGATCGTTAATTAAACTTAAATGATAATACATTATCAGTTATGATACGCTGTGTGTTATATGTTTTAGAGAAGGTTAATTAAGGCTGTGGTCTATCAAAGCGCTTTCGCTTGAAACTTTCTGATAACAATACGAACGTTCAAATGTGACTATGTCACAATCTGAAAGTAAATTAAAGATTCTTTTATGAAACTTACTATTTCTCAAGTAATAAAGAGTGTTTATATGTATAAATATTCTCGTGTGAGTTGATAACTTTGATAAGAAATGTGTTTTTAGTTCTTGTTTCTCTATCGAAATATAAAAAGATTGATTTGATTGACAAGTGTTAACGAGATGGTACAAAGTTTATATTGTCAATTTGCTGTTGTTTTGTTTAAATGTAGTTAGAGATAACATATCTAGTTGTTTCTTTACACAAAAACATCCGATATAACGCGCACAGAGTATAATAAATGTGACTATAGTTTTACACACTTTCATGAAAATTCTAATGTAAATAGTTAAAAATAGCTTTAAATCTTTTTTCTTCTATGTAAAATGTAAAACCTGAAATACGTGTTCAAGTCAATATTTTATTTTTTATACGCACGCGCGTGGTTAAATCATAATACGTGTAAAAAATTAAAATTAATATTCTAAATTTCTAAATTAAAAAAATAAAATTAATATTCTATAAATTTAAAATTAATATTCTAAATCTCATATAATTTAATTTGAAAAAAATAAAACAAAAAGCTATATCAGTAATTTGCGCTAGGAGTTACGTTAATTTAAAAAATCGTAAGTAACATCTCTTAATATTATTAGTTTTAACTGCTTCTAATATCAAACAACATGAGTTATTAGCTACGCGTAAGCAATTATTAAGATATAATTTTACTTGATACATATAGATCACCCTCGAATTTAAACATTCGCGACATCATTAATTATCTGTTTGAACCCAACTCCGGTTTAACTTATATTAAAAAAATTTAATATATAATATATATACATAAATAAAAAACTACATAAATATATTTTTACTTTCATACACTACACTGTATAAACATTATTCATACTTTTGACACTTTTCTGTGAAGAAATATTTATATATAAAAAAACAATGGAAGTCGATGGCAAACGGCAAGTAACGCGATAACTGTCGATTATTTGACCGTCATAATTTACATAAATTACATAAAATTAATTCAATTGAATTTACATAATTGCCCGAGTACGTGGTGCATCAACCGCAAAACATACGGCAACCTTTTCACACGTGGATAAAGTATTGATGACTGATAGCCGGGAAACCAGATATCGCGTAGGTACCCTATTTACTTTTCCAGTCTTTGCGTTTCACACAACTTTCTCTTTGAATTGGACACCGCCGCTGTCATTTGACATCGATCACATGTACCGGTTTTTCAATCGTAACATTTCGATCGAGAGCCATATCTGTTGACCACGTGCAATAACCACGTGAGTCGTCACATACATGTAACATTACGCAACATATACACACTTCTTGCACAATTTCCAATTATCACTTGACCAGACGAAACAAACATTTGACGAGTTTTTTAGATACGTACACGCGCGTACCAGACCTCTCTGTCAAGACTAAGGGCTGCTTTCCGATATTCATTGCCAGTACTGCTACATCTATAGCACGTGTGACGTGAAGTATAGACTTATAACACCGGTAGTGAGTATTAGAACAACTCTATGAGTTAGTGTTGTAACGGCTAGAGGGCATGAACTCGAAAACGTACATATGTATGTGTATTAAAAAGGACATGTTTTGCTATTTGCGCGTCATCACGCTACGTATCCAAGAACTATGTGAGTTATACGTAATGTAGATAAAGTAGGAAACACACACAAAAACAAACAAAGCATAAGACGCAAAAGTAGGTAGCATAAAAAAGAAAACTGAGAGCGGCCAAACCCATAAGAGTTTGTACAAACTATATATTAGTATAGTTGTTGTTTAGTTGTATAATTGTTATTATACAAACATTTGTTTTGTATAAAATACAATGTGCAATATCTCATGTATAATCAGAGAGAAGTCTGAAAGCGACCAGGGGCCCGATTCTCTAACTCACTCGTAAGAGAAACGTATGCGCAAACTCAAAGTTACGAACACTTTCCTATAGGTTTTCTATATTTAAGCGCTCGTAACTTTGAGTTTGCGCATACGTTTCTCTTACGAGTGAGTTAGGCCCGAATTCATAGTCGTCTCTCAGATCTCAGATCTCATCTCATCTCTTTCCCTCTCTTTTTCTCTCTCTCTTTCTCTTTCTCTTGAGATTGGAGATCTGAGATCTGAGAGACGACTATGAATTCGGGCCTTAGAGAATCGGGCCCCAGGCCCATAAGAGAATGTGTAATCACTTTTCCACCCCGTAAACTAGCGCATGTCCACGAGTGGTGCACATTGGAACTACGCGGCCATGTCCACGAGAAATGTCGGTGCGCTATGTTCACAGCGTGCGGTTCTATTCTGTGCTATGTGCACGAGTTTAAATGGTCACCTTCTTCAGATGTACGAGAGTACTCGCGAAACGTGGATTTGATTTACTTTGGAATTATTTAAATGATCGGTCTTGTGATCAGAAGATGAGGAAAGAGAACAGAAAAGAATAAGAAACAACATTGCAACTTTTCACACAACATAAATGTGATATTCAAGAAAAGATGTAATAATAAAGAAAAGAATATTATTTTAGCGCGAACAGCATCAGAATTCATGAAGTGTATCATCTTCTTTTACATCATCATTTGCTGCTCTTTGCTTTATAAATTTTATTTTAATTTTTTAAAAACACTACATAGATATGTATAGACACAAAAAACATGTATATTTTACAAAGATGTTTTAACGTACACAAATATATGTGTCTGAAAAGTTGCAATTCCAACAAGTGTAACTTTTACTGCTTTATTACAATTCTTTATAAATGTGTTTTCAATTTTCAAGTTTCATATTACAATTTTTTATACATTATAATAAAATACAATAGTATACATATATTACATATCAAACATACAATAATAATACATAGTGTTGTGTGTATATATATAATCCTATCTACCTACCTACTTATCTTAAACATATGACATATTCTTTCTTAAACGTTTTAACGTAATTAGGATTAAGGCTGCATGACAACCTTGATCCTAATTTTACATTTTTATTTCTTCTACCTACCTATTTCCGCGCGCGATCTAATATATTTCCTACCTATCCGGCCTAATTTATTTTCTACAAGCGCTTGTAGATACGTATCCCTACCTACACAGATAACTACCTACCTACCTACTTTGGAAAGTTTTAAGACCTATCAAATATTTTACGCGAGGGGCAGTTGTTTTAAAATTAAAAAGTATTATTTTAAATATATTTTAGTATCACGCCCGAGTTTTATTTTAGATTTTATGGTCGAAAGAAGAATATTATACCCACCCAATAAAGCCTATCATGTATAATTAGAAGAGATNGAAATATTAATATTCTATAATAGATAGAAAAAATATATATTTCAATATACATATTTCAAATATATATTTTTGCAAAGATAAAATAGAAAATAATAAAAAGGTGGAGAATAGATATAAAGAATATAAGTCTTCAAAAAAAGATT